TTTAGTTTCGTTTTTGAAATATGAAAACACCACGTTTGGCACAGCTTCGGCACAGAATAGTGGAAATGTAGCAGGATAAAGCAGGATTGGTCTTTCTGTGCAGTTTAGCACACCTATCACATCACTTGTGTCAGTACCTTTTTAACCTTAAAGTAGCACTTCCTGGCAATGCGAACTTTTCCTGGATTGGTGTTTTAATGGCTTGGCATTCTTTCACTACAGTGAAATTGCCTTTACATGTAAACTAATATACCCCTAAACAGGTGCTTTCACGGTTTAGCACCCCTCCACGGCAGTGAAATCAGCTTTACAGAAAGGTACTATCAGCATCAAATGAAACTCGAACAGCGGCAAGCCTTCACGATGGTGCATGCCGTGCATTTATCACCATGGATAGGCATGCATATATGCGCAGTGCTGCTGAAGAAGTTAGGCGTGCCTGTCTGATAACTGGATCAAGGTTCGTACAGGTTTGCAAAGTGAAAATTCAAGGATATTCAAGGAGTTTGAATGACTTGTTGCAAGTTTTTCAAAAACTCAAAGCGGCATGCTAAGTTGGAATTTCTCACTCTAAAATTTTCAAAAATGACCAATTTTATTGCACTTACAATAAATATATAGGCATCACAATTATAGCGAAAAAAATCTAATCCTAACTTTTTGCACTCTCTCCCTTACTCTTCACAGGGAAACGGTGTGATGCCGTGTCGAAGTTACGCGCTGACGGGCTTCAACGTGTATGTGTATTCGGGCCTTAAAGGGGTGGTGCCACAATATTTGTAGCTTGCGCGCTCTTTGCTGCAAACTTTAATTATAGCTCTAACAAGCATGATACATGCTCGAAGATTCATTTATTCTCGCTATATAATTTCTCGCCTTATTGATATGAACAATTTTCAGTTCTTGTTTGTGGCCACCGGGTTGGGCGGTTACGTAGCAGTGTAGCTGACTTAGTCAAGTAATTACAAAGCATTGCACACGTAATGCTGAGTATAGTCTGCCCACGCATACATGTACCACACAAGCACCTGCAAAACTAATGCGCCGCTAGCTGCAGCAACCGTGATGCTTTGCCGGTATGTACGTGACGAAAAGTCGGAAGGTCACTCACCTGACTACAGATCACGTGCGACATCACTACAGCTTTCGCTACCCTTCCTGTAGAGCTAAGTGTTGGATGCGCTCGCAATGGGTCTTGATTAGGATAATGAGCATTTAGGTACACTTGGGAAGTGACTTAAAATATATTCTAAATGTTTTCGAAGTCCAACAACTCATGTGGAGTGTCCTTGCCTATAAAAGAAAACCCACACTGTGCTTGCTATAGCCGTGAAATTTGATGGCACCACCCCAATAAGAGTTTGCTTGTGCACAGTTGACACTTGGAGCCCGTTGCTCAACAGCCAAGAATTAACAACTGTGACAGTGGTTGATTTACACTCATCCTATGGATATATGCGTGTTATTTTCTAGCACCCTTCTTAGTGTTTAAGCAGCACGCTTCCAGTGTCGAGCTATGACAGTTGTTCATCAGCACTCGTCCCCTGCGGTTTCTTTTCGTACGTACTTTGTGCTTGAGCGGCGCATTACATGTATGGGGCTTCTTGATTGATTGATATGTGGCAACACAAGGGAGAAGCAGTGAGTGATATAAAGGTCACCAAGGTGGAAAGGTGGGCATGTTGGTATTCCATGTTTAAGAAGGGTAAGAGCGCACTGCGCACGAATACACAAAGGACACACACACGCACACATAGCGCTACTTTCAACATTGTGCATTGTGTATTCGTATTCAGTGTGCTCTGACCCTTCTTAAACATGATATAAAGGGTTTAACGTCCCGAAACCACCATATGATTATGAGAGACGCTGTAGTGGAGGGTTCCGGAAATTTTAACCACCTGGGGTTCCTTTGGTGCATTCAGACGACGGACCGAATCCGGATTTGTCGTGGACGCGGATGGCGAATCCGCGGATTATCCGCCTGCAGGCGCATCCACACAACGGACGATGTCCTAGGAGAAAACAGCCGGATTACCCTCGACAGCATATTCGGCACTCACCTGCGCCCGCTGGCAGCAGACCGGTTTGAGAGTATTCAACATGGATGCCCGCAAGAAGCGACGCTTGGCTGCGATGTCTCTCGCATTGTTACAAATGAACGAGGAGTGTTATTCTTTCAGGAGAAAAGGGAGTTGCTGGCAGAATGTTCTTTCAACGACATTGTTCTCCTTTTGTAGAACTTCTGAATGCGTCTCCCATCCTTTTTTAGAAGCGGCACGTCGCCGGCTGCAGAAATTAGAATATTTCGCCACCATGACGGCGAAGAATCTCGCGTGTCAAACGACGGCGGCGACATTTCCCAAACCACCAAAAGTGATTTCTGCATATTTAATCACCTGAGAACAAACTTCTGGAAACTAAGTAAACCATGCTCAAGCGTAGATGATGCCGACCATGCAGATGATGCAGATGATGATGCCGACCATGCAAATGATGCCGACCATGATGCCGATCATGCAGCTGTCCGCGAGCCATGTAGGACATGCCGCGAGCCACCTTTCTCTGTGCCGCGAGCAGACGAAAAGTGTACTGGTTGCCAGAAACCCCGAGCTAATTCGCTGAAGTATCGGCTTTCTCCCGCTAGAATCCCGATGTGAGAAACAGGTTGGGGTCATCCGTCCGCGACCTGCGCGGACGAGGGGAATCGTCGTGAAGTCACGTGACGCGCCGTCCGTCCCGCCACATCCGGATTCGGTCCGTCGTCTGAATGCACCATTAACGTGTGCACAAATCTGAGCACACGGACCTATAGCATTTTCGCCTCCATCGAAAATGCAGCTGCCGCAGCCGGGATTCGATCCCACGACCTGCTGGTTATAGCAGAGTACCTCAGCCACTGCGGCGAGGCTGTTATGAGGTTTCCTACCTTTTTTCATGTGACATTCTGATTTCTTGCTGTCACATTCACTGCTTCAGCCTCGCCACAAAATAACTTCTTTTTCACATGCATTTTTGCAAAATGGAACCATGTGTGCCCATGTCGCATTACTCCTTCGGAAATGGGGAGTGTGACAGGTTGACATACCGATCTACAACATTTAGGAGGTCAAGATGTTAATATGAGAGGGCACTGCTCACGAAATTCAAGGATTTTCCAGGATGGCGAAATTCCAGGACTTTCAAGGACCTTGAAAATACATTTTTCAAATTCAAGGGTTTCCGAGTATTTCAAGAACCTGTACGAACCCTGTAGATTGTGTGCACTATACAATCGCGAAGGCTTGCCGCTGTCAGAGTTTCATTTGACGCTGATAGTACATGAAGACTAATTGGTACCTATCCGTTCATTTAGAGAAATTTTCAACAACTTAAATTCAAATAGGATCTAATTCGAATACTGTTACATTTGTTTGATTATTTGAAACTTTCAAATATTCACACAAGTCTACTTTTTGAATAGTGTCCTCATAGGCAATCTCGGCATCAATCTCAGTAGTACGAGACACAGTTGGCAGGAAGCCCTGTAGACCGAATGAAGGCCATTAAACAGTGCATGCTTTTTATGCGTGGACAGACCTAATAACATCAGTCCATGGAGAATATTGCGATCTGTGCATTTTGCAACACAAAGCTCTATGTTCTAGCAGAGGTGATCTCAGACCCCTAGTCAACAATGGTAGGTTGCCTCAAACATCTAAACACTTGCCGACTGTAAGCCAATTATGCACAAAAGAAGCAGTCTCTGCATCAAGCATAGCGTCGTGTCTTTATTTATTTATTATTTATTTATTTATTTTCGATACTGCCAGTCTCATTCCGAGACCATAGCAGGTGGGCATACAGATTGTACATGCAGGTGGTACATTAACAGCGCAGAAAACAGAAACAGGAATATAGTGAAATGACAATAATCACAAAGTATAAGAGCGAAAAATATACAAATTGTTTACATCTGCAAAGACAAAGAAACCATCACCAATAAGAAGAGAAATTTTGCATGAAGTGCAGTGGTACACAGGCAAAAAACAAATAGCAAACTTCCAAACACTCCAGTTAACACTTGTACACTCCACTAATACGCTTTCACTGGTGGCGCAATGCTTCTGGTGATGCGAGTATTGCCACATTAAGAGAACATATTGTCTAATTTTAGTGCAAAGTCGGATACCGATTTCGCACTAGTTATGGAGGAATCCAAACAGTTCCATTCCCTTATGGCAAGTGGAAAAAAGGAGTGCTTGAACGTGTCATTGCGGTAAGAGTACTCTTTCAGGTAAGAGTACTCTATCAGGACGTACACAGAACCAAGGTTCACCTATAGTATATTATTGCAGTGCACCAGCACCGCTTTGTTTGCGGAATAATCCTTCATCCATTGCAGAGATTTTGGTAGCCTCAAAACCAAGTTCCACATGTTCCGACGCACTGGCAGTGCGATTACAAGTTACAGACACCGTCAAACCCATCAGATGTTCTTTGGCTCAATTTACATAGTACTAGATCTATCAAAATGACACACTTAATCCACTTTGGTGCACTTGGGCACAACATCAGGTGTTTTATGTCCCAGAACCATGATATGATTATAAAGACGTCATAGTGGAGGGCTGTGGAAATTTCAGCTGCTTGGTGTTCCGTGCACCGACATCGCACAGTACACAAGCTTCTACCATTTCACCTCAATCAAAATGCTACGCCACTGCAACGGACATTTTGGCATAGTTGGCACAGCAGCGCAATCGCTGTATGACCAGTATAGGATATCAAAAAATTTGTTTATACACCAAGAAAATTTCTTTCGTTTATACACCAAGAAACACTTTTCTTTTTACAAGTTCATCAAGCAGGCTCTTGACTAAATCTTCATAAATACCATCCCCACTGGCCTCAACAAGGTAATTTGTAAACATTCTTGCCCAAAATATAGGAGCACAGCCTTCACACATGAAAATATGGTACGCATCAAACATAGCATGCATCAAAGGTATCCAGCTTACCTTAGCGTAGCCTTGACTCAGCACTTCATTGATGACGTCAACACCAGAATCGAGGAGGTGGCACCTTGTTACCATGTTTGTTGTTTCCCTTGAAATTTTGGTGCTTGTTACCACCTTCACATTCTTGTCTCTGAGCAGCTCATCCACAAAGACAAGTGCCTGAAAAAATGCCAGGTGCATAGAGTGGTAGAGAGAGAAAATGATTTTCAGCCCCAACAAGTACATGTGAAATATAAATGCATCTATGCCGAAATTATGAGGTTTTACGTGCCTGAACCAGAATGTTTTTTTTTTAACTCATTTAGCAGAAAAGAAAAAGCACAAAGTACATATTGTAGAATTCAGAGAGAAAGATGCACAATGTACATGAAGTACATCCACGGCCACGTCTGTGTAGAGCGCGCGAGCAGCCCGTTTTCGCTGTGCGGGGTGAAACCTTGGCTATGTTTCTGGCTCTGAAGTGGTCTATCAAGAGCATGCTCAGCCTAGTTCCTAGGCTGACCAAGTCGGGGGCCAATACTGCCTCCAGGTTTCGCTCCAGAGTGCGAAAATCAGCTGCTTGCGTGCTCTACACAGGCCTGGCTGCGGCTGTACATATACAGTACTTCATGTGCATTGATAAAGCCAGAATCAAGGGGGGATGAGATTCGAAAAAAAAAAAAGAAACATTGCATTATTCTGTAGCCCAGAGCAGTGAAGTTTTTGCTGTATATATAGCCTTTTACACTGATTCCAAATATGTAATGAGTTCTACAGGGTGTCCCAGGTAACATTAGCCAGATTTTAAAAATATGCCAGAGCACGTATTTACGACGCGGCCAAATGCATGTTACTCACCGTTGCCTGGAGTTGGACAATTTTTTGTGTTCTCGAATAATGTTTAATTAGGTCTGGTAAAAAATTCCAATGAGAAAGTTGTAGATAGGTTGCAAAACGTCCAAATAGACAGTTTTGAACTTTATATCTGTTAGGTAATAGTGTTGTTCTACCAATTACAAATGCCCACAAAATACAAAAAATACCACATGACAAACCCGCTCGCACTTCAGTGCGCACGATTATTCTAGTGCTCCCTTACGCTTTGGCCCGCGGAGAGGAGGGGAGTGGACAGTCTCCTGAGCGCCCTTATCTCCCGGTGGGGAGGATCATAAGTCTTGGCTGGCGGTGAGCTTAACTGGAATGATTCTGTTATAGTTATGGGGGGCACAAATGCCACTGCAATGGTTGCACAGCTTCCATTTGCAAAAAGGGCGTGCTTTTCAGACACAGCGAAGTAACAACTAAGGCACTTATTTGCGTACATCTGTACCTATGATTACATTTCGTATGTCATTTGTGCGTGAGAAACGCGGGGCACGTTTCGATCTGCTTGCAATTCTGCGCGTGACCTTACACTTTGTTGCTATCCCGTTCACTGCTTCGCCTTTGCGGCAAAGCTGTGACTTTTTTTATATATATAACAAGCTTGATGCCTTTCAGTCAGTTCCCATGCTTCATTCAACACAGCTGGAGAATAATTAACATTCATTAGCACTAATAATCATTCATCGCGGGGCACAAATTCATGAACGCTGTCGCAGTTACAAATATTGCCGACTGCAAATTGTGAGCAGCTTTAAGCCACAGTAAAAATCGGAATAAAGGTCGTATTGAATATAGGTCGACGCCCCCCCCTCCTCTTTGAATCTCTGAAGAAATTTATGAAAATCGAAAAGTATCGTGGCGCACCTTTACCTTGACAAATATGCAACACAACCAGCTGCACAGTGGCGATGTTTCTTTTTATTTTGACACTCTTCTTATGTAGTTAAACACCAGAAGGCCAGTAAGTGGTGACACTCAGACTGGTCCAAACTTGAGACAGACATCCGTTTCTCACTAGTTACGTCAGAGTGCATCATCCTCTGTTCCATCCAATGCATTGCTGATGCAGCACTTGCGGAAAGACTTGCGCACCATCTCTTCAGGGAGAAATATCCAAGGTGACAACACTCAGCCACTAACGGTCGTGAGCAGCGGATGTCGTAGACTGCCAGTGGGGATCTTGGATTGTTAATATATAATAAGAAGAAAGAAAACTGCTGCCTGGAGCGAGCGCGTGCTACTTCACTTCTTCTAATAAACCATATTCTTTCGAAGCACTTCCTGATTGATTAATTTGTGGGGTTTAACGTCCCAAAACCACCATATGATTATGAGAGACGCCGTAGTGGAGGGCTCCGGAAATTTCGACCACCGGGGTTCTTTCACGTGCACCCAAATCTGAGCACACGGGCCTACATTTCCGCCTACATCGAAAATGCAGCCGCCGCAGCCGAGATTCGATCCCGCGACCTGCGGGTCAGCAGCCGAGTACCTTAGCCACTAGACCACCTCGGCGGGGCAAGAAGCACTTCCAGGTCTCGATCGTCTTAATAATGGTCCAGTGGACCAGGATACTAATACTACCTCCTCGCAGGCAAGAAAGGTCAACCTGCCACAAAACGGCAGAGGAGCAGAGGATCGACCTGAATCGAGCGATGAGACCACGGTGGAGAGTAGGAGCATCAGAGAACGATTGACAAGTAAGGTGTCATTGTTAACCACCTAAATATGAGCAAGGAAGTGATAACGAAGAACAGGAAAGCGCTTCGCTTCCAAATCACACAACTGATTAACGCAGCCGAGCAGGAAACTAATGATGGAGCTAACCGGGAGCAGCTGCTTACAAAGTAGGCACAGATTAAGGGGAGATGCTACTCGAAAACACTTTTTTTTAATATTCACCCTAGAGCAATAAAACTTGAGCTGTTTATGGAACTTTTTATGCTGATTGCAAATATATAATTAGTTATCTTGCAAGTTGCATACTTTCATCTCTGTAACATGACAAAATGAAAACCTTAACCCTTTTGCCCCCCCCCCCCCTATTTTCATCCCTGAACTTCCGTAATTTTTTAACATTCATAGTTCATAATGTTTGAAATAAAGTGTAGAATGCAAATAACTGATTACTTACTAGCATCACTAACCGGAACAGCGACGGCTGCTATTGAAGGACTTCAGTACTCAGCAGAGGAAAATTATGACGACGCAATCAAATACTGCAAAAAACGTTCGGCAATCGCGAACATTCCATTAAGATGCACATGAATGAGCTCTTAAGTTTGGAGAAAGTGAGGTCTGCTCAAGATACTGATGACTTAAATAGCCTAGTACAGAGAGTGCAAGTTAATATATTGGCACTCAAGTCCCTAAAAGTGGAAACCGAGAGCTATGCGCCAATGTTGTTACTGGTAATAAATAGAGCGATTCCCCCAGAATTCCCAGTGCAGTTCAAGTCAAAAGAGGCTATGAGAAACAGCTCAGATTCAGAAAACAGTGAGCAAAGCAACCCAACAACAAAAGCGTGCGAGGAAAAGCAGAACAGGCTTAAGTTATTCTTAAGAGAGCGAACGGCTTTTCGTGAAGAAACACAACGTGAACAAGAGAGGATAACTGCCAAACTAACAGAGAACGGCCCACAGATGCACACAACTTCAAGCTTCTACAGGTCAGCGGACAGAATATGCTTATTCTGCAAGCAGAAAACCCACGCAACAGAAAACTGTCGTCGGAGCATTCCAACGGATAAAAAGAAAGCTATGCTTAGCGAAAATAGAGCATGCTTCAGATGCACGCGACCAAACCACACTGCACGCATTTGCAAGGCCCAAGTAAAATGCAAGCAATGCAAGGGACGACATGCCACATCAGTGTGTAGAACTGTGATGCAGAAAACAAGGGCAGAGCTAGTCTCAACAGCGCAAGTCGAAGCGACGACATCTACGCTACACACAACTGAAAATATCAAGCATAAGTTTGTGCTTTTGCAGACGGCTGTAGCATGCGTAGAAGGAGAAACATGCAGCCGGCATTGCCGTTTGCTATTAGACAGCGGAAGTCAACGTTCATTTATTGAAGCGGGATTAGCGAAAAAAATAGGTGCGAAGGTGTTGCGACAGGAAAGGCTGACGATTGGTTCATTTGGAGGAGACGAAAAGGTCAAACTAATGAACGTGGTGCAAGTGACTGTCGGATCACGAGAAACAAAAACGACAACAGTGATTGAAGCATTACAAGTCAACGTTATCTCGCACAGTTGTGTACCCACTCCAAGTCAGAAACTCTGCAAGAAAATGAAACAGCTAAAGATGCAAGTGGCTGATCACAGGACCGAGACAACTGCCACGAATTCTGTAGAACTACTGATCGGCTCAGACTATTATTGGAAATTCTTTACTGGTCGAAACTTTACTGGAATGGGTACTGCAAGGGCCGTCAGATAAAAGCAAGACAAAACTAACACATGATCAAGCAGTCATGGTTCTGAAGGGTGAAGCTGCGGAGACAGAACTCCAGCAAGAGCTACAGAAGTTTTGGAGCCCGGAGTATGGGATCACAAGAAATAGTTTGGATAACACTGGAAATGAAATAGTCGAAAAATTTGAGCGCAAGATTGTACAACAAAACGGATGCTATCAAGTCAGCTTGCCACAAAAACAGGACGTAAACTTGGAAAGCAACAAGGAAAATACAATAAAAAAACTACAGCAACTGACTAAAAGGCTGCAGAAAAGTATGAAGACGTGCTGCCTCGCTACAACAAAGCTATATCAGAGTATATGGGATAAGGAGTCGCAGAGGAGGTCCAAGAGTCGTCAGAACAGCCAAATGCACTTTGTTACTACATGCGACATCATGCGACCATGTGAGAGGACCGAGCCACAACAAAGGTTCGAGTAGTGTTCGACACCTCAACATGTTTTCGAAAAGGTATGTCTTTAAACGATAACCTAGAGGCAGGACCCAATTTGAATGAGGACATGCTATCGCTGCTCATTAATTTCCGAAAAGAAAAGGTGGCATTAGTAGGAGATATTGGAAAGGCATTTCTACAAATCTCTATACACGAAGAGGAGAGAGGTGCAATGAGATTTCTGTGGTGGAAGCATAACGCTGAGAGAAGGTTAATTAATGAAGTGCAAACATGGCGCATAACAGCAGTACGATCGGAACAAGACCAAGCACGTGTATACTGGCAGCTACAATTAAACACCATTTGAAACAAGTGGAAGCCCGTACACTGCAGAAAGCGATCTACGTGGATGATGTCATTCTGGGAGCAGCAACGCTTGATG